TGGCGGCATGTAGCTAAGATGGCTCGATCCAGCAGTCACAGTATCACTTTTTCCTTACTTGAAGAATGATCTGATGGGACATGGACCTGCGCATAGACTGTTGGAGTAGATTGGTGTAAGAATTATTCTTGTAGCACCAGCTGATACTGAGATACACACCGACAACTGGATTGACAGGACTTGATGAAGATGATGATGATGATGATGATGAAGATGAAAAAAGGTGGCTGAACAAAACGGCCGGTTCGCCGATTTTTGACTTTTCGCTTAGACAAGGTCTAGAGCCACGCTAGTTGTACCATTGGAGTCCTCTTGTCAAGATGAGGTCCTCTATAAAGTCTGGTAAGCATAGGAGCTCGTTTTCCAGGTATAGCAAGGCTGCAAAAGTCGTGGCAGCCATTTTGTTTGGGGGTGAATCCTACTTAGTAACGCTACCGCGTTACTAATATGCATATTTTGTTGCAGTCAAAATTGACTCAAATATATTACTTATTATATTTCTTGTTTTTGTAGTGCATTTAAAAGTGATTCCAGTACATTGTCTGGTGTGCTCTCCTCCATTTTATCTTTCTCTTCTTCCCCTTCGCCTAATTCATTTCTATTTCCTGCCCTTCAACAATTACCACTGTCAATCAAAACTGCTGTAAGTGACACGCCCACCACTAATTAACTATTATTATTATCATCATCATTATTTATTCCCAATTTTTATGGCTTACCCATTAATTTTTTCACCATCACCTGTTCAATATTTCACAGGCTCAAATCAGTTCTCACCTCAATCAAATAGACGCTGCTAGTTATTCTCCACCCCTCCTCTCTCCCCCTGGCTCCTCCCCCTCCCTCCTATCTCCCCTCGGTTCCTGTCTCTTCTACAAAGGATACTTAGTCTCCAGTCACCTCACCCTCCAGCTCCTAAGAGCCGCTCATCTTGTTTGTGTCTGTTTCGTAACTCGACAGCCGCTAGCCGAGTTGACTTCAGTGTGGAAGCAAATATACTTAAAAGAGGAGAGTCAAAGTGATGCTAATTTATTTGTACTTGCTATTGGAATGGTACGTCATAGCTATTGGAATATAAATAGTATTTGATAATGCAACAAAATGGTGGATTTTAAAAATATTAAATGCATATGTTCACTTACTTCACTGTTTTGTATGTACATTGTAAATTATTATAAGAAAGAATTATACTTGTTTATTTGTTTATTAGTATTTTACAGACTTAAAATGTACGATGAATCTTTATTTTTACTTCCTCTTCTTCTTGTATTCTCTTGATGCCCCTCCCCCATAGGAACACACCCTGTTGTGTCAAGTTGTGTCCGTTGGTCGTGAGCTCAATATCTCCTCATTCCCTGACGACAGGGTCAAGGAGAACTGTCGTAAGATACTCTCAGATATCCACTCGTCAGGTCTACTGTCAGACTGCGAGAGAAGGTATGAAAATGTGTGATTTTTAAAAAGATATTTTATTGTATTTTAAAGGTTGATTGGTCTTCCTGCTCTAACTTCAGCTGATGTTTTATTAGCATCTAATCTAACGACAGCAGCAGCTGCTGGTGCAGGAGGAGAGAAAGGAGGAGGAGGAGGAGGTAAGGGTCATCATCGTATGACCAGGAGCAGCACTGGATCAATATACTCCCTCAGTACCAGTAAGAGATATGAGAATATAAAATGTACATGTATAAAGTGCAAAATTAATTTTTTTATTCTTATAACTATGAGTTGTTAAACTTAATTTAAGTGATTTTGGAAGGTTCAAATTTTAAAAACATTACTAGTAAGAGTATAAAAATGGCAGGTTTAATTTTAGCAAGCAATGATCAAATCGAAAGTTTTGCTCTCCAAATTAGTTAAAAATCAAAAATGTTATATTTATATTTTCTCTCCTTCTCAGTTGTCAGTGGTTCCTTATCAGATTCAGATGATGATAGTTCCTCAAGATTAACTCCTAACAAATCCTCCTCAGTATTTCATTCTTTCCGCTTGTCTCTTCGTCGACGAAAACACAAATCAACATCATCGGCCACCCTAACCCCCAGCATGCTCTCGTTGCCATTGGCAACCAGAGAGCCTTACATGTAAGGAACGTAAACCTGTACATGTACATGTAATATTATCGTATGAATTTTGTAAGTACATGTACAATTATTTATATTTATTTTTTGTGGTATTATTTAATTAACTATTGTTTCAGGTTAACAGCCGGAATGGAGAATCACTTGCTTTATTACGTATCTCTTGAAAGTGGGCGTGGTCTCCTCGTATCCCCTAGCAACGAGCAGGTCAGCAGTCAACCAGTTCATAGTCAGCTACTGATCACTTTCCGTGAGACTGCGTCAGCTATTCACACCATCTTATACCAGAAGAGGAGAGAGGAACAGGAGGAGAATGTATGGGAGGAAGAAGAGGAGGAGGAGGTAGGTGTGGTCAAGGATATTAGGGAGGGGTAGGTCAGGATTTGAGCTTGGAATCAGCTCAAACTTTCTACATAGCATAAGGACATCAATATGTATCAGAAAATGTAATAAAAATTGGGGGTCATTTTGGAGCCATTTTTTTTAAAAACCATGGGCTATAGTACAGGGAACTTTTCAAAAATGGCCCATTTTAAAAGGTGCTCACAACTCCAAAATTTCTACTCAGAATTAGCTCAAACTTACTACATAGCATACGGACATCAAAACAGTATAATATTATCAATGTCCCTATCATCATTGTTTGTTATTGTTCATGTATAGATATCATCAGTTTCCTCAATGAAAGACGGTAATGATGGTGTGTTTAGTTTAAGAGGGAGTTCAGTGATAGAACATGGAGTATTAGTATCATGTACTACACTATCAACAAGAGGGGGAGGAGTAGGAGGAGGGGCTAAGAATATTCACGGGTCATTAGCTAATCCTCCTATACTCAACTACTGGATAATAGGGTAGGGACTAATGTCGCATGTATATTTTGTATTTTTACTATTTTCACCCTTCTTTTTATTAAATCTCTTCCCTTTATTTGTTAGTTTATTTATTTATTTGTTTGTTTATTGGTTTTGTTTTATTTTTAGGAGATTATTTGAGGAGAGAGAGTTGTATATTTGCTATCAGGAGAACATGTCACAGTCGTCTGTTGAGATTATTTTTAAATTGCTGTTTGGATCAAGCATATTTTAAAATTTCTTCTATTTTCTAATTTTTATCATCATTATTATAATCATTTTTACTTACAATAAAGTTAATAAGTTATTAGTTTCGGGCAGGGCTTGTTATTATCATAGATCTACTATATTATTATCTTGTAAACATGTTTACATAAATCTACGACAGCAATTCGGAAGTAATGGCTACTCAACACAAAGAAATCTCTTTCAATGCTTTCTTGTCCTCTACTCCAACTATAAAGGAGCTGACGGAGCATGTTAATGTTAGTACTAACTGGTGCACACTTGGCACAATGCTTGACTTGGATCAGAGACAGTTACAAGATATTAATGGAAAAGCTATCCCTAGCACTCAGAAGATGATAGAGATGTTTAATCTATGGCTGACCACTACTCCTACTGCTAGTAGGAGACAAGTACTGGAAGCATTGAGAAAGAGTGTAGTAGGAGAGAATGCACTCGCTTATGAATATGAAAAGCATTTGAGGGAATTACATGAAACAACTTGTAAGACGTTAAGCATGCTGTTTGCTAACAATAATTTATCTTTATTATTATAGATGTACCACCATCTAGTGAGGCAGTTTCTATTCTTCAAAGAAATATTCAATCATTGAATGAAGCTCTTGTCTCTCCTGTACAAGTGTCTCAACTGTTATACTGTAAGAGATGTATAAGTGAAGCTACTCTGGATGAAATGGAGAGGATAGATCAGAGGAGGTCACTGGATGACAAGAAGACCACTCTATTGACTGCCATACAAGAAACAGTGTCTAGTGACTACAGGAAACTTAAAGATATTGCTACAGTGCTGTCTGATGTTGCACAAACAAGAGATATAGGCAATGAAATGATGACCGAATATGGTAAGATATTGATTTTCATTTTGCCAGTTTATCATAACTCTGATAGAAGAGAAAATTCCACAAGATGATGATAGTACAGTAGTACAGCCACAGGTGGGAGTAGTAATCAGTAATGAAGATTGTGCTAGTGATATATTGAGAAATAGTTACAGTGCTCTCTCTCAGTCAATTACTCAACCAGTTCGTATGGCAGAGTTGCTTCATGGAGAGGTTATATCTGATGAGACCCTGTCTTGTGTCATGTCTACCAGAGGTTCTGTCTCTGACAGTAGAGCAGTTCTCCTCAAAGCTGTACGAGATGCTGTTCACTCCAATTACAAACACCTGGAGTTGTTTGTTGCTGTATTACAAAAAGACCTTAAAGAGAGTCAATGCATTAATGGTACAATTCGTACTATCATTATACTAGTATCAATTATCATTTAATAGTTCAAAAGGAAGAAGTGATTGATGAACTAAAGGAGAAAATCTCATCACTAAAAGAAAAACAAACTATAAACAAGGAAAGCATAATTAAAGGTAAACTGTGTGCTTTGTCGCAATTTTGACAGACATGCCAACTTATAAATATTGTTGATCATATTATATCTTCTACAGATACTGAGAAAGGGTTAGAATCATTTAAGGAGCTGTCAGAAAATAGACAAGAAACAAAACAAAAACTTGAAAACAATAGCAGTATGTTAATTAAATACAACATTTTGCCATTTCTAGTTATTAACAGATTCACTAGTTAAAGAGATACCAAAAGATAGTGACATATTCACAGATGAATCATCCAATATTGATGACTCATCTGATACTGACACATCATCACTTGATAGTGACGCACCCAGTAAGTATCATTATTTAATGAAATAAAAACATTACATAAGTTTGAATGCTTCAATTAACTGACTATTTGTGTATATATTATTAGGTGCAAAGGTGCAGGTGGTACGGAAGCAGTATAGTATGCGTCTCACTAGTCCATCATTAGATCAATGTGAGAAGTTAATTGGTAAACTAAAGGATACAAATAAGAGTGTTATACTCATTCACTCATCATCTGACAGTACACAGTTCCTAATACCAATTATATTGGAGAGAGGAACAATAAGTCAACTTAATATTTACTCTTCATTATTAACACGTGGTGATATTCTCTCATTCTCTTCTCAACTATCAACTGACAAATCCCTAACAACTCTAGTCCTAAATATTGGTTCAATTAGTGATGATGGAGTCATTGCACTAGCAGAGTCACTGCTATATAACAAAGCACTCAAAAACTTGTATCTTAATGACAATCCTGGCATCACTTCAAATAGTGCACATTCACTGGCTGAACTTTTACTCATTAACAAGACACTCAAGTACCTTTATCTCCATCGTACTAACTTTAATACAGATGGAGTAATGATGCTGATGGAATCTCTGGTGACCAATGATACACTAGTGAAACTCTGGCTAGACAAACAGCATGAAAAAACTTGTTTTGCTTCACCTCATTACAAGGATATTGAAAGCATATTATACTTTTTGTAGACAGAAAGTTAGAAAGTTTTAGTTTTTAACAATTAGTTAGAAATTTTTAGTTTTCAACAATAATTAGTTATATACCAAGTTATTATATGTGTGACTATTATCTCATACAATATACACAAACAATAAAATGCTATTAATCATGTGATAGTCATGTGACAGTCAGTCAGTGCAGCTGTTAATGCTTAGTAGACGATAAATACCAAAAGAGAAGACATCCCTCAGTCTCTGATACATCATCACTAGCTCTTGCTTTATTAATATCCTCCAGCCCATGGCCACCACTTATAAGCACTTGATAATTACTATTAGTGTGTGTGGGTGGAACTGATACCAGGGTACTCACTCTATCAACGTGGCCTCTGATTAGTGAGTGGAGTTGATGAGTGTTAGCTCCTCCCACTAGCGATAGTGTAATAAGTACACCAGTGGAGGTACCAATCAGTAGCTGAGACTGTGTACATGTTAATGAAGTGATGTAAGGATTGGTGCATTTGTGTTTCTTAATGATGGGATCATAATCAGCAGTCAACCAGTTCACAGTCAGCTACTGATCACTTTCCGTGAGACTGCATCAGCTATTCACACCATCTTATATCAGAAGAGGAGAGAGGAACAGGAGGACAATGTATGGGAGGAAGAGGAGGAGGAGAAGGTAGGTGTGGTCAAGGGTATTAGGGAGGGGTAGGTTAGGATTTGATCTTGGAATCAGCTTAAACTTTCTACACAGCATAAGTACATCAATATGTATCAGAAAATGTAATAAAAATTGAGGGTGATTTCAGAGCCATTTTTGGAAAAAACCATGGGCTGACAGTACAGGGTATTTTCCAAAAAATGGCCCATTTTAAAAGGTGCTAATAACTCCAAAGATTGTGCTCAGAATTAGCTTAAACTTACTACATAGCATACGGACATCAAAACAGTATAATATTATCAATGTCCCTATCATCATTGTTTGTTATTGTTCATGTATAGATATCATCAGTTTCCTCAATGAAAGACAGTGATGGTGTGTTTAGTTTAAGAGGGAGTTCAGTAATAGAACATGGAGTATTAGTATCATGTACGACGCTATCAACAAGAGGGGGAGGAGTAGGAGGAGGAGCTAAGAATATTCACGGGTCATTAGCTAATCCTCCTATACTCAACTACTGGATAATAGGGTGAGGACATTAACCCTTCAATTTTGTATTTTGTATTTTTAATATTTTTGCTATCCTTTGAAAACTCGTTTCTTTATCTATTTATTTATTTATTTGTTTGTTTGTTTGTTTGTTTATTTATTTATTTATTTATTTTTGTTTTGCTTTTTAGGAGATTATTTGAGGAGAGAGAGTTGTACATTTGCTATCAGGAGAACATGTCACAGTCATCTGTTGAGATTATTTTTAAATTGCTGTTTGGATCAAACATATTTTAAAAATTCTTCTATTTTTTCTAATTTTTATCATCAATATTAAATTAATCATTATTTTTTTACTTCTGTAAATCAGATGAACGCCCACTCAAGGGCGGGGCTCGTTTCAAACGGGGCTCGTTTCAAAGGTGGGGCTCATTTTCTCAAAGATGGAAATCTCTTTCGATGCTTTCTTGTCCTCTACTCCAACTATAAAGGAGCTAACGGATCATGTTAATGTTAGTACTAACTGGTACCTTGTTGGTACATTGCTTGACTTGGATCAGAAACGATTGAAAAGCATTGAAGCTCACACTGGCCACACTGACGCCCACAAGACGGTAGAGATGTTCAATTTATGGCTGGACACTACTCCTACTGCTAGTAGGAGACAAGTACTGGAAGTATTGAGAGCAGATGCAGTGGAAGAGAACACACTTGCTTATAAATATGAAAAGCATTTGAGGGAATTACATGAAACAACTTGTAAGCTGTAGCTGTTAAAGCATACTGTTTGGTAAAAATAATCTATCTTTATTTTTTAGATGCATCACCATCTACTAAAGCAGTTTCTATTCTTCAAAGGAATATTCAATCATTGAATGAAGCTCTTGTCTCTCCTGTACAAGTGTCTCAACTGTTATACAGTAAGAGATGTATAAGTGAAGCTACTCTGGATGAAATGGAGAGGATAGATCAGAGGAGGTCACTGGATGACAAGAAGACCACTCTATTGACTGCCATGCAAGAAACAGTGTCTAGTGACTACAGGAAACTTAAAGATATTGCTACAGTGCTGTCTGATGTTGCACAAACAAAAGATATAGCCCAGAAAATTATGACCAAGTATGGTAAGTCATGAATATTGGTAGCATTTTTATAGATGATGTAATTGTATAGAAGAGAAAATTCCTCAAGATGATTATAGTACAGTAGTACAACCACAGGTGGGAGTAGTAATCAGTAATGAAGATCTTGCTAGTGATATATTGAGGAATAGCTACAGTGCTCTCTCTCAGTCAATTACTGAACCAGTTCGTGTGGCAAGGTTGCTTCATGAAGAGGTTATATCTGATGAGGCTCTGTCTTGTGTCATATCTACCAGAGGTTCTGTCTCTGACAGTAGAGCAGTTCTCCTCAAAGCTGTACGAGATGCTGTTCACTCCAATTACAAACACCTGGAGTTGTTTGTTACTGTATTGAGGAAGTTCTCAGAGACTGCTCATATTGGAGATACTATC